ATAAGGTGTTTGAGCCTCGTCATAAGGCTTGTCTCTACGATCAATCCAACTGGATATTAGGCTAATATGTGCTTGAACTATTAATAATGAATCAAGATTCTTTTGTTTACGTTTTTTGGTCAAAATATCAGAATTAGGTTGTGAATCGGCCACTAGATAATGTTGTAACAATTCTTCATATAAATGTGAACCAAGGATTTGCGAGAATGGTTTGACTTTTTTGTAGAAATCTTTTGAGGATATTTCACTGAATCTTATCAGGGGTATGAAATCCTTTAGAATGAATCCCAACAGCTTGAAATCTTCTGGAGCCCATATATTAAGATTTTTGCTAAGTCTTGGATCTTGGGATTGTCCCCAATGTATCACAAAATCCCATATTTCATTCTCTTCCGTGACTAGATCATCTTGATTCAACAACATTAAAAAGAAGTCCTTGTCAACCATTGTGAAATCTTTTGAGTGGAACAAGATTTTTGGATTGTCAAATACCAATGTTGTACAGAATTTTTGTAATTTTACAAATGAATCATGTTGAAATGAGATTTTTTGAATCAGAACAATGTTTTGTTGAAACCATTTATAATGATTTGCTATCAGATGTCCTTGTAGATAATCAATTAATTCACCAAGAAATATTTCATCACATGCCACAAGAAGTTCAAGGATTTCAGCCGGGACAAGGTGAGCAATTTTTATAATTCCTGTATATATATAACTTATGATGCACTCGAATACTTTCGGAGTGACATTTTCTTTTTTGTAAAAAAATTTACCATATTCATTTCTAACCCATTCTTTATTGATAGCATTGAAGATTTTAGTGTTTGGTTCTTGGCCAACCTCAATAACCATGTCGAAATCTGTGGAACTCTTGAATATTTTATTCAAATCATTCGATAATTTTGAAACCAATTTCAATAACCAAACATCTTTATCAGGACTACTATTAATGTATTCACTTATATTTATTGGTTCTTCAAACATTGTTTGTTGATCCATTTCTGTTTACATTCTCATTCTCTTAAAGATAAGAGGCAACAACATA